AAATGCAATGGTGTGCACAAAAACACGACACATGAAACTCAAACGTACATACACACATACGATTAGATGGAATATAGTATACATAAACATCTATAGAGAAAAAAAAATATCGATAGACTGTGTGTAATGGTGTGTGTGTGTGTATGTGCTGCTTACACGACTACAAACAAAAACCACCGTTCAGAGTTTCGTCGTCGTTAACGTCGGTGTGCCGTCTATTAGAGAGGCTCGTGTATGCCGTCAAGGCTGCAGGTAATCGAGGTAATTTGATGGGATTGTACCTATCGGAGAAGAGGCGAGGCCTCGGACAAAGATAGGAAGAGAAAAGGAAAAAGAAAGAGAGAAAAAGAGAGAGAGAGAGAGAGAGAGAGAGAGAAAGAGAGAGTCCAGTCAAAGAGAAGTTCAGGGGGCCACCGCCAATTTGCTGCTCGACGAGATTAAGCCCGCGAGAAAAAGAAATTGGAATCGAGACGAAAATTACCGATCCCACGTTTCACCCCACCCCCCTCTCTCTCTCTCTTATTCCTCCCCTTCATCCTCCTCCTCCTCCTCCTCCTACTCTTCTTTTTTCCCTACTTTCTTCATTCTTTCTTCTATTTTATTATTTATTGTTTATCATTTGATCTTTATTTTCGTATCGATTCGATCGTTATAATATAAAAAATATATTTTAATATTTTCATGGAAATATTTAAAACGACCCAGCCAATAAGATTGTTACACATTCTTCTGTATATTTCTATTCAAAAGTTATAATACTCACAAATATGTTATCGAATACATAGAATATATTTTAAATAAAATCAGACAACACAACCAATAAGATTGTTACACATTCTTCTGTATATTTCTATTCAAAAGTTATGATACTCACAAATATGTTATCGAATACATAGAATATATTTTAAATAAAATAAATATCTTAGAGAGGGACACACACACACACACAATAGATTGAAAAATAATAATCAATCGATAAAGATCGGTAAAAGCTTAAGGATTTTGTGGCTATTCTTCAAAAGATTTGACGATAGAAGAATAAAAATAAGAAGAATAAGAATAAGAATAAGAAGAAGAAGAAGAAGAAGAAGAAGAAGAAAGAAGAAAGAAGAGGAATTAAAGGGGTGAGTCAGGGAGAAGAAGACCGTCGTCCGGCATTTTCCTCGAGGCGATAAAAGCTACATGACCCTTGAGACTACCTGGATACGAAAGAGAAACAGAAAGAAAGAAAAAGAAAGATAAAAAGAAAGAAAGAGAGAGAGAGAGAGAGAGAGTAAGAAAAGGAATAAGTTGAGATCTAGAATTAGAGTCGGAACCATTAAAATCCAAAGGGATAATCGAGAGGGTCGAAAATCCTCGAAAGGAACTGCAACACAACTGGTTGTATCAACTTAACTCGAATAATATTTAATATTGGGTACATCGAAAGAAAAAAAAAAAAAGAAAAAGAAAAAGAAGAAGAAGAAGAAAAAATAATAAGAGAATAATGAAGAGATAGAGAAATGGATGGATTCTAGATTTTCGTTATAATTATAGAGTATGGTTTTTGAAAAAAATTTTAGGAGAGTATTTTGAAAAAAAAAAGAAAGATAAAATTTTGATGGAACACACTAATCACGAAATAACACGATCCAAAACGATACCGTTATACTATTCGTATAAGTATGTAAACGTAACATATAATATACGTTTAGAATTTAAAGTATTGGTACAAAATATTTGATTTACTGTTAAATGATAGGTATTTCCTTTTTGTAGGGAATTTTTTTTATTAAGATAGAATATATGTATATATGTAAATATTTAAATTTTAATAGAAGTGACGTGATATATTTTACAAATGAAATGTAATAGTATTTAAAGATTTATTAAAGATTATCTCTCTCAATTTATTTTATAAAATTATATATATTTTAAATAATATATTAAAAATTATATTTTCATTGGATTATAAATTAAATATTATTACATATGTAAATATATTTATTTAATTTGTAAAATAAATTTACTAATTAAATATTAAAATAGATAGAACAAATATTACATACTAATTATGAAATAGATTTATAACAAAAATATACGAAACCGTTTAAGAAAAAGAAAATTAAAGAAATGCAAAGAAAATAACATTCCTTCTCTTATAAATCTAATTTCTTATCACACAACTGTAAAAAGAGAAAAATAAATCATAAATCGATGACTTTAGAAAATAGAAAAGGTTGACGTTTTAAAAATTTTTGCTAGGAAAGAAAATACATCGAATAGCACGGTAGGTAAAAAAAAAAAATGAATAGAAAGAAACACATTGATTCGCAAAAATACGAGAAATGATAATGATGATGATAATGATGATGATGATGATGATGAGGATGATGAGGATGATGTTATACACGACGGACATTTGGAAATATGTCTTTCACGTGTGTTCTCATTCGTTTCGTTTCGTTCATTCGAATGTGTTCAGTGGAAATCCGTAATATCGCTTTAAGTCGTTTGTTGCACGATAAATCATCGTTCAACGTTGAATTTCATTCTTTGATACACACATACATACACTCATATATCTATATCTTTTTTTTTTATCTTCATTCTCGTAAGAGAGTCATTAAAATGACGCAATTTGTTCTTTCTAATCGTCAAGAACAAATTCTTGGTTACAACTTTTACACATCATGTCAGCAACGTGTCGATTGACAGAGAAAAACGAGGTGAAAAATTAACAAATTAAAATTAAAAGAAAATATTATAGACAAATGTACGGAGAAAAAAATGAGAGAAATAAAAGATAAAAAAAAAAAAGGATAAGAAATAAAAAATAGGGTGGACTAAAAAAAAAACGTAAGAAATCTTAGGAAAAATGACACACCATGTCGAAATAGAAACTTTTACTTGGCACTCGATAAAAATCAAACACCATTTGCTACCCTTCCCTCATTTCTACACCCCCTTGCAACCCATGGCCCCCTGGCCCTCCCCGTTACTTCACGCTCTTTCGTCGTCTATCCTTTTTCTTTTAAAAAGTTCTTTTTGAGTCCTAAGAAGTAGAAAAAGTAGAAGAAAAAGACAAAAACAAACTTAACGAACTCCTACTTCTTTCCAAAAGTCGAGGAAAGGTTACCGGTGCGATAAACATCGCACCTCGTAACACTCCATTTTTTTTTTTTTTTACTTTTTTATATCTTTCTTCTACTTCTACTTCTACCTCTTCTTTTTAACTTTTATGTGTCTTGTCAGAAATACCTCGACCAAAAAGAAAAAAAAAAATAAGAAAAAAAAATTGTCATCGTCGAGCAAATCTTTGAAAGGTGTTATATAAAAAATTATATCACACTATCATCACGTATATATATATATATTACTTAATATAATAAAAAATATAATATATTAAAAATATTAAAAAATATTAAAATATTAAAAATTTTAAATATTAAAAATAATAAAAAATATATATTTATTTTATCSGATATTGAATTTTTGTAATATCTAATTTTAGAATTAATTAAATATATTTAATAATGGTCATTTAATTTATTTTAATAATTTTTATAACGCAACCCTGACGAAATAACCCTAAACGCATCATCAATCTTTCAACGAAATATCACGCGTAATTTTCATAAGAAACAAGTAAATAAACGATCGAACTTACGACATTTGTTATGTTAAAAAAAAAAGAATAATATCAACAATAATAATAACAACACATAACACGTTGAAAATAAAAGAAAATAAAGCAAAAAAAAAAAAAATAAATAAATACCTGAGTTTTTTTTTTCATAACAACATGCTCAACACACATACGAAAAATAGAGTTTATAAACGTTAGAAGTAAGTACGTGTGTCTCACTTAAATCTAATAGAATTGTCAACGTGTTTAAAAATAAATATACATATATATAAACTATTTACTTGTATATATGTGTAACGTAAGAATTAGAAGAACGATACTAGCATAATTTTCCACGCGTATCTTTTACTCATTTTCTATCTTTCTTTAACTGACGATTGGCATCGGTTGCCAAGAGAATGATTTTCGTCAAAGTATTATAGACTTACTATTTACTAATACTACTATCTAACTGATATACCAATATACCATTAAATATTTAACACAATTTGACTTCTATTACTACTACCTGTAAACGTGATTTCCGAAAGATTTTCGTAGAATTTCTATTCCGGATTTAATGCGTTAAAATCTAACATAAGTTTTCTAAGATCAACTTGAGAAATCTTATTGACTCTTCTCTCTCCCTCTCCCTCTCCCTCTCTCTCTCTCTCTCTCTCGGCTTTCGGCTCTCTTTATATCCTCAGGGTTAAGAAAAGTTTAATTTGAGAGAGAGAGAGAGAGAGAGAGAGTAAGAAAAAGATAGATAGAAAGATTAAAAACAATGTTTCTTAATTACTATTGAAAAAACACGGGGAAAAAATTTATAAAGATAATTTATAATTGAAAATTAAATGAAAACGAAAAAGAAATAAAAATAGAAAAGAAGAAGAAGAAGAAGAAAATATTCGCAAAGATCAAAAATGAAATCAACCGAAGAAACCTTCGCTAAAGTAAATATACGGCTTTATAACATTTAAAATTACATTCTATTAAATATTGAATATTTATTATCAAAAAGTGATCTTCATTTTGAGTAAATTGCATTCACTATTATCAATTTCTATTCTAACTTTCGTTTACAAATGTTTCTTTCACTCTTTGCATAGAACGGAACTAAAAACTGCATGTAGGAATCATTGCCAAGGTCTCTCTATCTTTCTATTTCTCTCTTTCGTAACACGGGTGGTCTCAAATGAAAATTTCATCATCGAAAAATAATTAATTTAACGCTTTTCTTTTTAATAAAACATGGGGAATTGTTCGTGAAGAAGAAATGAAGAAGTGAAGAGAAGATTTTTAGCATTAAATTTATAAAAACGAAAAATATTTAAGTACGCTTAATAATAATTTGACGTTTCTTTCTTTTTTTTTTTTTTTTGATTGTATTTACCTGTGTAGCATCTGAATAAGGTGTAGGAGAATTTTGATCCACAAGTAAAGATCCAAACATCGGAATACCGGAGCTTGAAGGGCTGTCTTGCTGTTGTGGCACCATTTTTGGTTCTTCCGTATAACACAAGTCGACGCAAAAAGGCTCTTTCACTTTAAAAAATATAAATTTTTCGTTTATCCTCACTTTATTTATTTATTTATTTATTTATTTATTTATTTATTTATTTCTTATTTATATTTTTTTAATTTATATTATTTATAGTTTTTATTTTTTAAATATAGCAATGAATTTATATAAATCAACGATCGCTAATCACCACACTTAAGTAGCTGGTTTTATTTTTTATTTATTTTTTTTGTTTTTTCAAAGTATCGTCGCACGGATACTCGCGTATCTTCTTTCGGTGACTCCGATGATCGATAATAATATATGAGTATGTATATATATGTATAATATATAAATGTATTTATAACTTGATATTTATCTATTAAATATATCGTATAGGAAAAAAACAAAATCACACACCTTCGGCGAATTTTAATTGTTTTTTTTTTTTAACGAAATAAGAAAAAATATAACAAATTATATTTTATTATGCGATTATTATTATTGAGTCCGTTTATTTATTTTCTTTATTTAATTTTATTTTGTTGATACGGTCATCTGTTCTTTTTATTTTAAAAATCGCGAAGAAGAGAACAGGATTTTCAATAGATCACAAAATCTAAGACTTCTTGGGATAAGAAAAACTGATTTTCGATTCCCTTTTCGTCCTAAATTTAAAATTAATCCTTTTTCAATTCTCTCGCGAATTAAAAAATAAGAACAAAATAATATAATAAAGCCTAAAAAAAAATTATTTTCTAGGCGTTTTTGCCACCACCAAAACTGAGTATACGTTTTTTCTTTCGTGCGGCGGGGGTTGGTGAATTTGTGTTTGATATTTTCACTTGAGAAAAAGGGGAAAAAAGAAATTCGTAGAACAACACCCGACGAAAACCAACACGACGATCGCGACTCGTTTTTGTTTTTTTACGTGATGATTTTAATTTCTTCTTCTGTTTTTTTATATATATATTTTTTTTTTTTCAATCAATCAATCAATCGATCGATCAATCAATCAATCAATCAATTAGTATAGTCCGTGTGTATCTTTATATTTCTTTCGAATTGTCTTAAAAAACAATTTTTTCACAAATCTCTTCGTTTATTATGTTCGTCTATTTTAATTTCCTCGCGACGAGGAATTAAAAAAAAGCGAACTAGTTACTCGCGAAACACGGCAAGTAAATGTTTGTCGTAGTTGCAGTTGTAGTTGTTGTTGTTGATGATGATTTTTTTTTCGTAAAAGAAATCACACGCATTTAAGATGATTAATTTTTAACCACGAGTTTAGATTAATCCTTTGAGAATTAGAGTTCTCTCTCACATTTAACTGTTATTTTTGCTGCTGCTGCTGCTGCTTCTTTAGCTGCTGCTGCTACTGCTGCTGCTGCTGCTGCTGCTGCAACTTTTGCTGCTGCTTTTGCTGCTACTGCTGCTGCTGCTTCTGCTTCTGCTTCTGTTCGTAATCGTCGTTGTAGATTAATAAATTATCCCAGAAAAAAAAAAATTAAAAAAAATTAATAATCGAAATGAATCTTCTTCTTCTTCTTCGTCTTCTTCTTCTTCTTCTTCTTCTTGTAAAAAATTTTCGTCTTATCGACGGTAAAAAAAAAAAACTCCTCCCCCAGTTTCCCGACGACAACACAACGATGAAAATAAAAACTAAAACGAAAACTAAAACGACGTAAGAAGATTTTCCTCCGATGTGTTGATTTCTTCTCTACACACGCGGTAACTTCTTCGCGCACGCGTTTACGAAATTTGACAAATACAAAACTTTAACCACGAGATTCTCCTTGTTTTCTTCTAAGGGAGGAGAGAAAAGAAGAAGAAGAAGAGAAGAGAAGAAAAACCAAAATCAAAACAAACAAAAATATATATTCCGTATAATAAATGTATAAATATTTATACACACGAAATTTGTTCGAATATCAAATCAAATGTCTCCGATATTTAAATATACGTTAAACACATGTACATACATAAATAAATATGTATAGATATATTATATATAATATATTAATATGTATAATTAATCTTAATAATCCCGATTATTATTCATTATTAAAATTATTAAATACTATAAGTATATAAATAATAATAATAAATAAATAAAAAACGACGTAACAATAATAATTAAAAAAAAATAAAATAAAATAATTTCAATTTATTTTTTTGTTTACTTTTTAAATTTTACGTTTTAGGCGAAAATCTTCTCGTATAATACGCTCGACGATCACTCGATAACATTATCGCCCGGGCGAGATATTCGCTTAACGGAACGATACTCGCTCTACGAGCGCTCATGTGCTACTGACTCGTGCCACGATCGAACTCCTGACTGTATACTAACGCGCCGCATCAGCTGGTGCGTGAATCCAGAAACGACGGACTGACTACTACTACTACTCTCGACGACGATGAGGAGGACGACGACGACGACGATCGACGACGGCTACGACGGTGGGGTAGTGGTGGTTCTGGTACTGGTGGTGGTGGTGGTGGTTGGTGGTTGTGGTGGTGGGTACGACGACGACGACGGAAACGAAACGACTATGACGGTGGCAGCAGCAGCAACACCAACACCAATAAACCAATACCAGCACACAACCAGCAACCAGCAGCCAGCAGCAGCAGCAACATTGATGGTGACGTAGTCCGTTCAACTATATCTTTCTCTTTCTATCTTCCTAACACACTTTCACACCTATAGATATATATATATATATATATTTGTTCCTCCCACCACCACCACCACCACCACCACCACCACGGACGAAAGCAAACGTATATACACGCTCAGTTTCTCCTCTCTGCGGCCAATCGACGCGCGCGCGCAAACCCTCTCTCCTTTACGTATATTATACTACTCGTTCTTCGAATAAGAGTGAGAGAGAAGGGTGAAGGTGGGGGGAACTTTGAGAACACCCTAGGTGGGTGGTTGCTGGATTGAGAGTGTGAGAGAGAGACAGCCCTTTAAAGCTACTCGCTAATCACCTTCTCTTCTACTCTTATTCTTATTCTTATTCTTATTTCTTTATTTTTTTTTTTTTTTTAATATCAATCAAAGGTGTGACATACACCTACGAGCCCTTTTAATTATTTTTTTTCCAAATGCAATCTGGTTATTTTGATATTAATTGTTCCTACCGATTAACCAATTGCAAATACATTTTAATCTTCTTAAGATTGCAAGTCTTCGAATAAGGGAGAGTGTAACCTTAATGAGTGGACGAAAAGATTGAACAGAGTCCCTTAAAGTTTTTACTCACTAATTACTTTTTTATTTTTAATTTATTTTTTTCTTTTTTATCATTCGTTTTCTTGATTAGAATAAGACACAAACCAAAAAAAAAAGGATAACCCTTAAAAAAGAAATTAGTTCCTGTTTTTAAACGCAACACCTGTACACCTGTGTTTATCACAAATTGTTCTTGCTTTAGGGCTTGATCGATTATCGCTAATTCGTTCGACACGTGCCACCATAGAAAGAGAAAATGAGTGAGTGAGAGAGTGAGACTTGGAACTTTTACTTCAAAAAATATTTGATTGATCTTTATTCCGTGAGAAAAGTGTTATTATATTACAAATTCTGGCAGGTGCGAAATGAAAATTAAACGATCTACAGTTTTATCGTTATCTTACCTACACATATGTATGTATGTATCTATATTTGAGTGTGTAGATATGTATGTATAGCAAATATATAAAAATATGTGTGTTTAGATAGATACTTGTAACATTATCGTCGTTGTGAAACATTTGCATTAATAAATGTTTCTTACTTACAATATGAATCTTTATATTCGTATTATTAAACACACACACACACACACATATATGTATGTATTTCAACATTTCTTTTCATATTTCGCAGGATCCTTTTCGTATTTTTGAAGTGTACGAAGTAAGAAGAGTACTCGAACGAAGCAACCAAACATCCACACACCCACCAACCCCCACTCGTAAAAATGATTTCTTTCCACGCATTTTTCTCTTATACTAAACTTCGAGATACGACCTCGTAAAAAAATCGACGTTGCGAGGTGAACGAGAAAAGAGGGAGGAGGAGGAGGAGGAGGAGGAGGAGGAAATGGTGAGAATGTTTTCTATTGGTGGGGGAGTTTACGCGTATGGACCAACTTTCACGACCACCTTCGTGGTTTTGTCGTCAAAATAATCTTTCCTATAGTGAAACCGCATAGGAGCTTATAATGTTCGTAATATTCTCTCCTCTCTCTCTCTCTCTCTCACTGCTTTTTTTATACTCCAATGAAAACCATGTACGAGCTTAAAATAAATGAGTACACGATTTTTGTCTCTTTAACAAAATTTCTTTAATTTGTTTCTAAATACTTTTGATTTATCCAACACGAATACACATACGTACCTGAAACATTCATTCATTTGAATGATCAATTAGAAATCAATTATTACTTACAAATTATTTTTATAATAAATAAATTATTTAAATTATGACAAAATTATGACAATATTTAATTAGGTAAATGTTATAAGAAATATTTATGAACATTTCTTGAACTTTTTAATATTTATTTTCTATTATCTAATAGAATTATAATAGAATAGAATTATAATTATTATAATAATTATAATTATTTAATTTATTATATATATAATATAAAAAAATATAAATTATATTATATATTATGTAGGATTATTGGGTTCTTCTAAATGAATATTAACACAAAATATAATTTTATAACCAGAAAACTTTAATATTTAAGTGCACAAGGAATGGCACGTCTTTACCGAAGGGCTGTTTCTTATAGACTAAAAAAAAGGAACGAACGCTTACACACAATAGGCATATGGTCAGGTCAGTCCATCGGCGGCATTCATGACGTCAGCCGATCCCCACACCATGCAAGTTTAGACGTGTTAATAGAAAACTATGGCCCTCTTAGACCAGAAAGAAGAGAACCAAAGAGATTGATTTTCGTTCTTGAATCCGAGTTACATATTCCAACATATTATATATATATTTATAAATTAAATAAAATAAATAATATTTTAATATATATTAAAATAAATATAATAAAATAAATATATATTACATATTATTATAATTATAATAATATATTTATGATCACATTTTTCAAACATTTTAATATTAATTAAATTTAATATTAATTTTTTTATTATTTAATATAAATATTTATAAACACATTTCTCCAAATTTTCATACTTTTTAATACGAATTATTAATAAAAAGTTTTAATAGGAAAATTGATTAATATAATTTGATGATAAATTAATGATTGAACAAAATTCATTTAGAAAAAAATGAGATTTTGAAGATTATAGAAAAGTTTTGAAGATTATTTTTGATGTATAAAATCCAGTAGTAATCGTCTATCTCGTTTTAATCCTTTTCCTTATCGATTATCGGCCAACGAGCCTTCAAGTTCGTCAGGGTCGATTCCTTCGAGACGAGAATGCGAGGTTAAACCGGATTCACTCTCATGGGTAATCGATGTCCGTAAGAAGAAATCTACGTCCTTCCTCGAATATGTAAGACGTGAACGAAACTTATGGTACATATTTAAAAGATCTTAATTATAAATCAATATGAAAATAAGAAAATACAAAATAACAAGAAAAAGATCATTTGTTCGATAAGAATTCGATAAATTTTTTCAAGATGTCGTCATTTTTCCAAATCTATGCAAACAACAAAACAAAAATATGAAAAATATGTTAGAAGATTCTTTTTCTTGTTTTATTTCTATTTTTTTTTCTGCACTTTCAAAGAAATTCACTCAAGCAAATTTCCTCCCCCTTTACCCCTACTCTTTCTTATATTTATGATTTATACTTTTATATTTGTACGACTTTGAAAGAGGCCGCTTCTTCTTCTTCTTCTTCTTCTTCTTTTACTTCATTTTTTTTGCTATGTGTAAGTGTGTGTATGTTTAAGTAAATAAAAAATTTGGACGGTCTCACGATAGAAAGAAAGAAAAAAAGAAAGAAAGAGAGAGAGAGAGAGAGAGAGAGAGAAAGAGTGAGAACATCTACGCAAGTTTTTCAGTACTAAAAATATATCGTAAGTAATACGAACAAATATGTAATGTTACATGTGTATTAAATTGTTATTTATATTTCAAAGGAAATATTTTCAAGTTTGTTAAATGTTACAAAAAATAAAAAAAAAAAAATAAAAAAAATTACAACGATATAAGAAAAAGAACAACAACAATAAAAACATCAAATCAAATAAATCATTATAAAATAAGGTTTGACGCGTTTACGATCGAACCAAACTTATATAACTCTATATGTATAATCATCTAATAACTATCCTCTAACTGTTTTTTATATATTACAAATAGGAAAGAGAAA